AAGTTGGAGGAATTACCTAGACGTTACTTTAGAAACCCGTATGCTTAAATATACAGAGATAGAAAAGAGGATTTGGAAAACAGAAAGAAAAGATACCAGCCATAGTTCTGTCATCCATATTTTGGAATATTTCTTTCCGGCCTTTTGTTTTCCTGTGAGACATATTTTTTGTTTGTTTTTTTTTTTGGGGGGGGGGGTTGGTTTTTTTTTTTGGCCACACCACACGGCATGTGGGATCTTCCCCAACCAGGGATCGAACTCATGTCCCCTGCATTGTAAGCGCACAGCCTTAACCAATGGACCTCCGGGGAAGTCCTGTTTTGCTTTAAACATACTTAGCTATAAAAATAAAGGCTCTGTTTATGGCTTGAGTTTATACCCTAGGCTGGGGTGACCAAGGACAAGCTACTTAGCATCCCTTTGCTCACTTTCCTCAACTATAAAATGGGAAGAAATAATAATGAGGACAATAATACCTACCTCAAAGAGCTGTTTTGAGGATTAAATGAGATAATTCATGTAATGAGCTAAGAACAGCTTATGTAAGCCTTTATTATTTGTATATATAAGTTTAGCAGTTACATAAAATTCCAACCAGTGGACGTTTTATCATAACCATGCTCCCGTTACTAAACACTTGACGAATTTTCAGTTGGGGGCTATTATACAGTTTTAAATATTTTAATACATTTATCTCTTTTATACTTAGGACTATTACTTAAAGCATTATCTTCAGAATCTTCATATAGATTTTAGAGCATTTCATTTAAGCTGGGTTGTGGGTATGTATTCATTATATTGTTGCCTAATATAATTCTCCTTTAGCATGCCTTAAATATTTCATTTAAAAACTATACTCAATGCAAAAGAATAAGACATTTAGTGATCAAATTGCTCATATACACAAAAATGTCAAAGGAGTAGTTGTAGGCTCCACTATTAAAGTGAGAAAAATAACTCACAAAATAACTTACATGAGAGCTGACTAAAAGATAGAGATGGGGGTCTTTACAGCTCTTCACATGCCAAACCACAGGCTCCTCCTGGCTTATCACTCACCATTGCTCATTCTCTCTGCTCCAGCTAAAAGTTACACTCATGGTTTTTAAAACATGCCTTACATTTCCCTTATCTGACCCTTCGTTTGCTTTGTTTCTTCTCCTGCAATGTATTCTCTTCTCCACCTCAACCTGCCAAAATCCTACCAATTTTCAAGGTTTGATTCAACCTTTTCAAAATAACTCCTCCACAGTGTGCTATAATAACAGCTATGTTCGCATGGCATCACCAATGCAGTCATAAAAACTCTCATTGGGTATGATCATAAAGGCTCTCTCATTTCATCCTCAGAACAATTCTGCGAAGTAGGCAAGGGAAGGCAAGGCTTTATTCCTCCGATCTTGTTGGCCTGCTCCTGGAATCAAAGTCCCTCTTTACTCCACCCCGTACCCCTTGCCAGTGAGCAAAACACACAAGCAAACCCTCAGCACTCCTTTTCCTTGGCACCTGCGGGTTGACTGATGAATGGTATTAATAAAAATAATGTAATCTAAAGACAGAAAAGTGACAAAAGTAAACAGACAGCACAATATAATTTAATAAATATATATTTTTTGTTTTTGTGTGTTCGTTTTGTTTTTGGGTTTTTTTTGGGGGGGCGCATGTGGGATCTTAGTTCTCTGACCAGGGACCAGAGATTGAACCTGAACCCCCTGTGGTGGAAGCGCGGAGTCTTAACTACTGGACCGCCAGGGAAGTCCCAATAAATAATTGCTTTTTAAAAGAGGAGGAAAGAAAAGATGGTGATTTAACAGGCTCTGTATTTTCACCGTGTCCATCAGATGGGACACGGAAAGCTATGTAGCCATGCTGCCTCTCTGCGGGAAAAGGGTGGAGCTGGAAAGGTAGGGTAATGACTCTCACAAACAGCTGAGAGGGGAGTATGATGCCTTCCCTGGAATGCATGCTACACATCTTCCAAAGTTTGTTCTAATTTCTGAAGGACACCGGATCGTAAGGCTGGTTGTTAACATTCTAGACCCGGCACTACCAATGATTTTCTCTGAGATTTGGGAACAGCTCACTTAAAAGCTGTGTGCCTCAGTTTCTTCAATCATAAAATGGATGTTCTCATTCTTTTTTTGGCACACATTATGGTTAACTACTCCCTAGGGAAGCTCCATGCCCCATTTTTCCCTAAAAGAACCCCAGCTTTTGGAGACCATGTGCCCAAGGGAGCTGAAGCCACTGAACCCCAGTCCCAGGGGACTGAGTCTGGGCTGGTATAAACCAACCATGGAAATCCCATTCCCTCTGCCAATGGTTGGTTTAAGGAAGAACGTAGCATGTGATTCTAGCCAATGAGAAGTGAGGGAAGGGAACTCTTGGGGAGGAGAGCTTCTGGGAGATTTTTCCTTTGATCTTAAGAAGCCACACAAGGAAGAGACGTTTTCTCCCGTGTGTTTGGGTATGATACGTGGACCTGTGGCCCTCTTGTGACCTTTAGATGACAAATTTGAAAATAAAGGCCCAAACCCTGAGACTACAGAGAAGAAAGGTGGAAAGCATCAAACCCTTGAAGACATTGTTGAGCCAATGAATTAACCAAGCCAGCAACTACCCCCCTACCTCTGAACCTGTTGCTTAATAAGAGTAAACAAATTTTTTAAAAACTTTTTGTTTTAAGTTAGGTCTTCTGTTACTTGCATCTAAAACACTTTGATATGATTGTGTTTTTCAAATCTTTTTTTCCCCATTTTACTGAGAAATAATTGATATACATCACTGTATGAGTTTAAGGTATACAAGGTGATGATTACATATATTGTGAAATGATTACCACAATAGGGTCAGCTAACATTCACTGTCTCATATGTATACACTAAAAAGAAAAGAAAAAAGGAAAAAAAAATTTCTTCTTGTAATGAGAACCCTTAGGACTTACTCTCTTAACAAATTCCCTATGTGTCACATGGCAGTGTTACCTCTAGTTATCATGTTGTACATTATACCCCTAGCACTTATTTATCTTACAACTGGAAGTTTGTCCCCTTTTCTTTTTGTAAATTTTTAATTTGTTTTTAATTATTGGAATGAACATCATTTGATGTGAATTTTCGAGAGATTATAGCTGTCAGGTGTCATTATATTATTTATTGAAAACCTAATGTCACAATATGCCATATCCTAAACTTTAATTCTTCACTGTCAATCACACTTACACACTAAACCTGCTTGCATTCCATCCATCACACCCGTCTTGTAGGTCTTATTATTGTATATCACAGAGCTGACTGTCTTTTGTTCTCTCTCATTCCATTTCTAAAGCCTTTCTTCCTTCTCTGGTTTACCTCTACCATCTTCTCTATCAATCGCACAGGTTATAGCTCATGGGATTACAGACTGTAGCTGCTCCTAAACCCTCTCTAACTAAAAATCTCATATTCATCATGTTCATTTTTTGTGAAACATAGCTTAGGTGTGGGAGAAATCAGGGCCTACATCAAGAATCTGATATTTCAGCCTAACATTGGACAATGCACTGCAGGTGCTTACCCGTGCTTAGAGAGTGTTTTTTTTTTTCTTTTTTTTGGAAGTTTGTGCCTTTTGACCACCTTCCTCCAATTACTCCCTTCCCCCACTTCCAGTAAACACTGCCTGATCTCTTTTTCTATGAGTTTGGCTTGTTTTGTTTATGTTTTTGTTTTGTAGACTCCACATATAAATGAGAGCATATAATGCTTGGTATTTGTCTTTTATTTCACTTAGCATAATGTCTTCAAGCTCCCTCTTATTTTTATATTTAATGCAAATATAAGTTATCTTAATAATATATAAAAATATATAAAACTAAAAAGTAATATAAATAAATACTATGCTTCTGTTTTATGTTTTCAGTTTTTTGTGAGTCAAAGAAGGTAAATGACCTTTTTCAAGAGGGGTGGTGATCCCATTCCCAAGGTAAAAGAAACGGTGCAATTCCCATCCATGACAGGAAACAGAATATGGAAAATGCCTGTCACCCGGTCAGGATGGGACAGAGAAGGATGCAAAAGCTGCCAGGTCATTAAGATGCCTCACAAACAGTTTCCCTCTGTAATACTTAACACAGGGTTCTGGTTCACAAGTCCAAGCATATACCTTGTTCCTGCTGGTGCCCCCAGCAATGTGAAATTCAAAGACACCCTCAGGAGTCCCACATTCATTAATACAAGGATAGAAAATTACCTTTAAAGTAGAAATAAGTGTACGAAGTGTCTGAAAACTGTTCCTTTCATACTTTTCAGGCTTTGTTGATTGGTCATGTCAAAACACATATAAACATACCCACACAGATACATACCACTTAAAACTAACTTAAAAATATATAAATAAGTTTTCTTTTAACTTCAAGTGACTTTTTTTGGCTGTGGCTCAGCATGTGGGATCTTAGTTCCCCAATCAGGCATTGAACTCATTCCCCCTGCAGTGGAAGCACGCAGTCTTAACCACTGGCCCACCAGGGAAGTCCCTTTAAATAATACTTTAAACAATAATATTCTTTTAGGTCATGCTTTCAAATCCAAGGAGGAAAGGTATACTGATTACTGTAGGATGCCATGTGAGTCCTAGACAGAGAAGCAACCTCAGATCAGAAAGCCACTGCTTTAAATTGAATGTTTGTGTCCACCCCCAGATTTATAGGTTGAAATCCTGTCCCCCAATATGATAATATTGGATGGTGGGGCCTTTGGGAGGTGATTAGTTCATGACAGGGCAGCCCTTATGAATAAGATCAGTGCCCTTATAAGAAGAGACACAAGACAGCCTGCTTCCTCTCTGTTCTCTTTGCCATGTGAAGATACAAGAGGGTCATCTGCCAACCTGGAGGTGGGTTCTCACCAGACACCTGATCTACAAGCACCTTGATCTTGGACTTCCCAGTCTCTAGAACTGTGAGAAATAAATGTTTGTCCTTCTGGCTAGCGATGGAGACTGCAAAGCTAAGGGTCTTTGGCTTTTCATTTGCAAGAGAGGATGAGTTTCTTTCTCAGAGTGTGCTGCAGCCAGACACAGTACCTCTCCTTAGCAGACACTCTGCTGTTCCAATCATACACCTTGCTGTTGAGTTCAATGTGGAGTTCCAGGAGTGAGTGTTTTCTGGAGGGAATGAGAAAGGCAAAAATTAATCCCATGCCACGCAAATATCAACGAGGAGACAGATTAGCATTAGGTTGAAATCAGCTAATAGATATGAAAGTGCTTTAAAATTGTTCCTTTCTAAGTATTCTACAAGCTGCTTAGCAAGTGATCCAAACAGGTTTGCAGCACTCTGACCCAATGACCACAGTCCCCACCCACAGGGGCAAATGAGTTTTAGTCTGGGTACACACCAGCCAGATGATAACCCATCTGGATCAGCCATGCAAATGCAGGATGGATGTAAAAGGCCAATAATACCGTTGGCCCGTGGTGTATGTACCTTGGAAGGCTGAGTTGCCCCTGCTCTAGCACTCCCTTTTTGCTCTACCATCCCTGAGGAGGCTAGGGGTCCCAGGCCCTGAGATTTATTCCTGGGGTCCCCCAAGCTACAACGGATGCCTTTCACAGGTGACTCAGAGAAATTCTAAATTGTGATTAGGGGGCAACAGAAAAGGGACTGCTAATCTTACATTTGAGGTACAGTGAGGCTTCCCTCATCCTAAATGGACACCAGGTCACCAACGTTTCCCTTAGAAAAGTATCCTTGCCAATAAACGTTAAAAATGTCTAAGTTACAAAGACTTGCAGACATGTATAGCCAGGTACCATTTTTCACCTATCAACCTCAAGACTTGGGGAAATAAACGAACACGCGGTATCAGAATTCAGGGATGCAGACTCTCTCATAAAAGCTGATCTATGGGAATTCCATGGGGTCCAGTGGTTAGGACTCGGCGCTCTCACTCCCAGGGGCCCGGGCTCAATCCTTGGTCCGGGAACTAAAGTCCTGCAAGCTGCGTGGCGTGGTCAAAAAACAAAAAGCTGGTCTAACTGTCCTAGAGGACAATCTGACGAGATGCATCAGAGGCTTTAAAAATGCTTGTCATTCAACACAGTAATTCCACTTCTGGGAATTTTCCCTTCAAGAAAACAATTAAGAATAAGCACAAATACTGAGCTATAAAGATGTTGAACACTTTCTTTTTTGTGAAAGCAAAACATTGCCCAACAACTAAAGACTGGCCAAGTAAATTATGCTATAGCCATATTAGGGACTGCTCTGAAGACATTAAAATGATACTATAGGGACTTCCCTGGTGGCGCAGTGGTTAAGAATCTGCCTGCCAATGCAGGGCACGTGGGTTCGAGCCCCGGTCCAGGAAGATCCCACATGCCTTGGAGCAACAAAGCCCGTGCACCACAACTACTGCGCCTGCGCTCTAGAGCCCGTGAGCCACAACTACTGAGCCCGCGTGCCACAACTACTGAAGCCCGCATGCCTAGAGCCGGTACTCCGCAACAAGAGAAACCTGCACAATGAGTGCCCCCGCTCGTTGCAACTAGAGAAAAAGCCTGCACGCGGCAACGAAGACCCAACTCAGCCAAAAATAAATAAATAATTAAATAAATTTTTAAGCAAATAAAATAAAATGATGCCATAAAAATGTGATTTCTGACATGTAAAAATATACTGTTGCACAAACTAAAAGCAGGTTATAAACTAACAGTAGATTATGATTTCATTTTGGCTTAAAAAAATCTTTATATGTGATTGTATCGGTATCCTAAAAAGACCTGGAAGGCAAAACACCGAGATTTGGATAATAGATTAGTTCTAATAAGTAGGATTATAACTGCTTGTTATGTTCTGCTTTCAGCATCTATATCTCATGATCTATGTTCAGTAAGGAGTATGTATTGCTTTTATAATAAGAAAAAAAAACATTTCTTAATTTTGAAGAAAAATATTCAAACCACAAGCTGACTATATGACCTTCTGAAGTATAAAGCATTCATAAACTGTGCAGTCTATTATCATACTCCTAAGGCAACCCCAACAAGGAATGAAAAATCCCTCCCCCTGACGAAAAGGGCATAGAATATGGCACAGTGGCACTTCCATCCTGGTAGCAGAAAATAAACAACTGGGGCCAGGATCCGCCACAGCTTGCGTGGCTCACCTTTCTTTCCCCAGCTTCTGGGAGAGGCACTTCAGGTACAATGACGGTGAAGGGGAGGACCGCTCCAGCAGGGACACGTCCGCTTTGCACAGGCTCCAGAAGAAGTCAGCTTCTCGGTGAATCACGCAGGCCCCGGGCTGCCTGGCCTTGGATTCTGCACTTTTCACTGATGGCCTATCCACCTCCAGGAAGCTGCTGTCCTCTAGCTGGCCCTCTGACGTCACATAGTTCTGAATAAAAAAGACCTTTGGCTTCCCTGAGAGAGAGGGGCATGCATCTGCCATGAACATCCTTCTGATATGATCCAAAGGGACCCCTGGATGAGTCTGATCCACGCCAAACACGCTCTGGGAGCCCCCTCGGCTCACCAGGATACACACGAAGCTGTCGTAGTCTTGGTGTTGGGGCATGTGCGCAACTTGGCCAAGAATGTGCTTTATATTTTCCACGGTGAGATGTAAGAAACGCTTGACTTCATAGCCCAGGGCAGTGAAGGTTTCCTCAAGAATGTCTGGGAAAAACAAACAAACATGAAAAACAACACAGGAGGGACTTCCCTGGTGGCGCAGTGGTTAAGAATCCACCTGCCAATGCAGGGGACACGGGTTCGAGCCCTGGTCCGGGAAGATCCCACATGCCGCGGAGCAACTAAGCCCGTGCGCCACAACTACTAAGCCTGCGCTCTAGAGCCTGCGAGCCACAACTACTGAAGCCCATGTGCCTAGAGCCCGTGCCCTGTAACAAGAGAAGCCACCGCAATGAGAAGCCCGCGCGCCACAACCAAGAGTGGCCCCTGCTCGCCGCAACTAGAGAAAGCCCGCGCGCAGCAAAGAAGACCCAACGCGGCCAAAAATTTAAAAAAACAAAAACAAAAACATAGGAGTAAGAAAAGCTCAAGAGATACTGGGTAGCGATCCTAAACATGGTCTAATTACTTGTCTGTTTCTGCTTTTGTGTCATAGTTTGAGGCTTTAAAGGACCTAAGAACGGGGCAGGAGGGATAGAATCAGCCTAAAACATGAAATATGTGACTTTCATGTCCCAGGTTCCCAGTTATGGTCTGTCCCCTGTTATACCACTTCCCTGCCTGAGGCCACCACCGCATCTGGCCACGGGCAGAGACTGAGCCCACCTCTAGTCTAAACGAACCAAGAGAGGAAAAATACTTTTTCCTTTCAGCCAAAACAAAGTTGGGGATTGTTCAAAGGGCTCTTTCCTACAATAACTCACAAGTTCATAGGAATGGGTGCATTTGCAGCATGCAGATCTAAACCTAGATCCAGTGGCCGCAGAAAGGGTGACCCAGGTCATGAGTTCCCTCACCTCCACCTGCTGTGAGCTGATCCGGAGGCCCCTGGATCTAAGCTGGGACCATTCCCAGACTCCCCAGCTCCTCTCATGACCTACTTCCCAGTGTAGCCTTTGACTGAGCAAGGGAGGGCCTTTGGCCAAGACGCCCTACAGCAGCGGTCCCCAACCTTTTCGGCACCAGGGAACGGTTTCGTGGAAGACAGTTTTTCCACAGACTGGCGGTGGGGTGGGGTGAAGTTTCAGGACGATTCAAGCGCTTTACATTTATTGTGTGCTTTATTTCTATTATTATTACATTGTAATATATAATGAAATAATTCTACAACTCACCATAATGCAGAATCAGTGGGAGCCCTGAGCTTGTTTTCCTGCAACTAGCTGGTCCCATCTGGGGGTGACGGGAGACAGTGACACCCAAAGTGTGTTTTTTTGTTTTGTTTTGTTTTGTTTGCGGTACGCAGGCCTCTCACTGCTGTGGCCTCTCCCGTTGCGGAGCACAGGCTCCGGACGCGCAGGCTCAGCGGCCATGGCTCACGGGCCCAGCCGCTCTGCGGCATGTGGGATCTTCCCAGACCGGGGCACGAACCCGTGGCCCCTGCATCGGTAGGCGGACTCTCAACCACTGCGCCACCAGGGAAGCCCGAAAGTGTGTTGTTTATGTCCAGTCTACTCCGTAATCTCATTTTGGTTGCTGTCACTGCAGAAAACCCTGCTTCACAAGGATAGGATGTTGGAAATGAAAGCAGGCTTTTCCGTGCTTTTGTGGCAATCTCAGGATATTCCACCTTGACTTTAATCCAAAAGGTATGGAGATTTGAACTTGTCTCAAACATACTTTTAAGGCCACCATCATTTGCCATCTCAAGCAATTGATCCTCTTCTAGCGTGGACAAAGTCGATTCACCCAGCTTACTCACAAATGGGTTGCAGATCCATTCCTTCCCAGTTCGGGGGTCTTCTGTGGTTGGGAAGTAATGCTCAAACTCTTTTGAAATCTGAGATAGGTGATCATGCATCAGCTGGGAGAAAGAAGGCCCTAGTTCAGTCTCTTTCAAAATCTCTGCTGATGTTTGAAACATGTCAAAAATCCCAATGTTCACTCGTCACCTCCATAATTCCAGTTTGGCTTTGAACGCAGCCACTTTATCCGCCGACTGGAGCACAGTCGCCCTTCTCCCCTGAAGTGACAGACTGAGTTCGGTGAGCAGGTTGAATATGTCACACAAGCAAGCAAGTTTTGAGACCCAGTCTGTGTCCCTGAAATGTGCTGCCAGTGGTGACTGTTTTTCTACAAGAAGTCCCTGGAGTGGCTCTCATAACTCAAAAACTCTGGCCGGTGATCTACCTTTAGAAGCCATCTCACTTCTGTGTATAAGAGAAGACATGTGTGTTCTGTGTCCATCTCCTCACAGAGGGGCACGAACAGATGTGAGTTAAGGGCATGCACTTTAATGTCGTTGATAATTTTAACCATGTCCTGCAAAACATTGTTAAGTTCAGTTACCATTTTTCGGCTAGCCAGCATTCTACTATGGATGACACAGTGCGTAGACACACATTCAGAAGCGACCTCTTTGACCCGTAGTGAAACCAGAAAGCCGTCCAGTCATGACAGCCGCTCCATCTGTGCATATACCAACACAAAATGACGAATTCACTTTTCCTGATATGTAATCATTCAAAGACTTGAATAGTTCTGCAGCTGTGGTGTTGGTTGGCAACAAAAGTGCACATAACATATCCTCATGCACATCCTCCTGAAAAATATATTGCACAAAAACAAGCATTGTTGCCTTGTTGTCAACATCTGTAGACTCGTCAACCTGGATTGAGTACCACGGTGACTCATTAATCCTCTCTAACAACTGTGCCTCAATATCTTCTGCTATTTCATCAATTCGTCTAGTTACGGTGCTAGCCAAAAGAGGAACACGTGCCACCTTTTGAACTGCAGCCTCTCCTAAAAGTTCATGACACATGTCCTTAGCAGCAGGCAGGATCTTCACCAATAGTAAAGGATTTCTTAGCTTTAGCAATGCAGTTAGCCACTAAGAATGATGCTCTCAATGCAGACATATTTGATGAAGTGGTAGCCTTCAATGATTGTTTCTGTTCTTCGTGTTCACGTTTTTTTCTTTTGAAAAACTCCAAAGCCTTCTCCTTTTTTTTTTTTTTTTAATAAATTTATTTCTTTATTTATTTTTGGCTGCGTTGGGTCTTCGTTGCTGCGAACGGGCTTTCTCTGGTTGCAGCGAGAGGCGGCTACTCTTCATTTCGGTGCACAGGCTTCTCCTGTTGCAGAGCAGGGACTCTAGGCGCACGGGCTCAGTAGTTGTGGCTCGCGGGCTCTAGAGCTCAAGCTCAGTAGTTGTGAGTTTAGCTGCTCTGCGGCATGTGGGATCTTCCAAGGCCAGGGCTTGAACCCGTGTCCCCTGCATTGGCAGGCGTGTTCTTAACCACTGCACCACCAGGGAAGTCCCCAAAGGCTTGTCTTTTAATGCAGGGTGCTTGGTCTCCATGTAGCAAAGCAGCTTTGAAGGTTTCATGGCTCCGTTGGATAGCCAGTCACCACAAATTATACAAAGCAGGCTTGGAGAATGTGAATCACCTGTTGCAATGAACCCATAATTTAAGTAGGACTTGGTATTTCCTTTAAAATGAAGCTTTCTTTTTGTTGGCAGTCTCAGAGTCTTCTGCTGTCTCATCATTGGGTCTTACCCTCTTTTCTTTTTCTTTTAAATTAATTAATTTATTTATTTTTGGCTGTGTTGGGTCTTCGTTTCTGTGCGAGGGCTTTCTCTAGTTGCGGCAAGCGGGGGCCACTCTTCATCGCGGTGCGCGGGCCTCTCATTGTCGCAGCCTCTCTTGTTGCTGAGCACAGGCTCCAGATGCGCAGGCTCAGTAGCTGTGGCTCATGGGCCCAGCTGCTCCGCGGCATGTGGGATCTTCCCGGACCAGGGCTCGAACCCGTGTCCCCTGCATTGGCAGGCAGATTCTCAACCACTGCGCCACCAGGGAAGCCCTCCCTCTTTTCAAATAAGCTCTCCAGCACTGTTTGTTTTTTACCTATTTTGGCTAGGGTTAGCTTGCGGGCTTACCAAAACTGTGACTGAGACAAGTGCGCAGTGCAGGAAAGAGGTGTGGACGGAAACCGTAAATAAAATAATGGGTGGGCCACGCATGGACTAAAGTAAGTGTTGGATTCTGACTTAAAGCCTGCCACCAGATGCAGCTTAACCGTCACTTGCCCCTCACTGATAGGGTTTTGATATGAGTCTGCAAGCAATTGATTTATTATGGTCACCGTGCAGTCAAACCCCTCTGCTAATGATAATCAGTATTTGCAGGCACTCCCCAGCGCTAGCATCACTGCCTCAGCTCCGCCTCAGATCATCAGGCATTAGATTCTCATAAGGAGCGTGCAACCTAGATCCCTCACATGCGCAGTTCACAGCGGAGTTCGTGCTCCTACGAAAATCTAATGCCGCCACTGATCTGACAGGAGGCGGAGCTCAGGCAGTAATGCGAGCGATGGGGAGCGGCTGTAAATACAGATGAAGCTTTGCTTGCTCACCTGTCACTCACCTCCTGCTGTGTGGCCCTGGACCGGTACCAGTCAGTGGTTGGAGGGTTGGGGACCCCTGCCCTACAGGGCCCCCAGAGATTCTTCTCCTAGTTTCCAGGAATCCTGGGTTGACTTTGCCTTGAGAAGCAGTGTAAAGCAGTGGAAAAAGCAGACAAGCCTGCCTTCTAACACTGACCTCACCACACCTATGGGCTGCATTGCTTTAAGGAAGTGGGTCTCCCTAGCTTTAAGTGGAAGTGGAGATACCCACCCTATGAGGATGCTGTGAAGATTAAATGAGATAATACAAATAAAGCTCCTGGTGCTCAATAAAAATATTCTCTGTTCTCTTTTTAAAAATCTTTTTGTTCATCTTCTAGAAGTTTCTATGGCCTTGGAACCCTAGAAATCCTACCCATCTACTTTGTTCCTATCTGCTCAGTTTGCCTTCATTGGAGAAGTAGGTACCGAATTGTTTCATCTTTCTAATAGCAAAGATAGACATCTTTCTCTTCCTCATTCAAAAAGTCCACATCCTTTTGAGCTACCCATTAAGTTTCTACTCCTTGTCTGAGGGATGCCTCCAGTTCTTAGTCCATTTTCAGAGCAGAGAGACCATTCTGTCCTAAGCCCAG